TTTCCTGTAACACTAATGATTTTAACTAAGCTAACACAAGACGAAGGCTAAGTTTATTTATATAGCACATTTAAACAACAGCGTTGACCAAATTGCTGCACATTAAAAGTATATAGCCCTCCAAAAAATGACACTAAAATCCAGAAAAACTGAGCACAGTACAAAAGGTTTGCTCTGTGTCACTGCACAGTCTGAAGAGGATGGAGGAGATTCCAGGAGACGAGCAGTTAATCTAGTAAAGCTGCACAGGGCCTCCTTGCACGAGCTGTTCCCTCGTGCAAGGAGGAGCAGGATGATAGCCCCGCCAGAGGCCCTAAAAACGAGCTCCAGCAGAAAAATCTGTGACCCAACTGAACTGTCTCAACTGGAGCTTTGTGATTCTGTTCCCCACTGTTGCTTCTTGGTCTCATTTCCCGTTCATGTTGAAAGATCCCACAGTCGGTTTGAATACATGACAGACAGCCAACTACTGACTTTGTAGTTACTAATATCTGCTTGATCTGTTATTGATTACCTGCAGGTTCTGAAGGAGGACGAGTATGACTTGTGGCTGAAAGCACACATGCTGGCAGAGAGCAGCATAGAGAACAGAGAGGAGCTTCTTCTGGAGTCAGCTCAGAGGCTTGAGACCAACCTCACTCTGTTGGGTAGCCACTGCAGCTCAGACTTGAATCATTCGATATCAGAGCTGAAATACCAGTACTTATATTATAATATAATATATAATATTATATGTGTGCGTGTGTTTTCAGGTACCACAGGGATTGTAGACAGACTCCAGGAGGAGGTCCCAGAGACCATTGCTGCTCTTCAGAGGGCTAGGATTAAAGTTTGGGTTCTCACTGGAGACAAACAGGAAACAGCCATCAACATCGCTTATGCCTGCAAACTTCTGTGTGCCAGTGACAAACTGCTGACAGCTAACTGTGGAAGCAAGGTCAGTGAGTGAAAAACTCTTTATTTTACTGTAGAGCATGTGCACAAGGGTGTAAGGTCTTCTTCACACACCGTGCACTCTGCATTAGATGGAGGAGTTGTACAGGGAGATGGAGGAATGATTTCCTGTGTCATTCAGGTGCGTTTGGCTCATCTCAGTCTCTCACTAAACATGCTCCTGTGACAGCAGTCACACCATGACACCCCAAGTATGACGATGGAGTGTTGAGTGCGAGAGAAACTGACCTGAAAGATGGGATCATGGTAAAGCTCCATAGTGGTTACCAAGAATATGTTAAGTACCCTCTGAAGGTCTACTAGAAGATGCACCATAATGGAGAGTCCGTACTGCAACCATCACCAAAAAGAACCAGCTGATCTACACCACAGCAGCAGTGATCACGGAGATGCTTCAATGATGAACAGCCCAAAGGAGCAGTGCAGTTCATGGAGAGTCGAGAGGCCAAGATCAAGGTAGCACGGAGGGAAGTTGAAAGTAAAAAGTTGAAGAAAGAGCTAAGAGCTGCCCGTGCCGTGAAACTCCCAAACAAAGACTTACAGCCTTGGCCAGCCACT